CAGGCTCTGTTTGTATTCTTCCTCCTGTGCCAAAGTTTGGAAATAGTAGCAGAAAAACAGGGCAATGATGCAATTAGTTACCTTGTTTTTTGGCCTTTTTTTTAGAGATTGCAATGCTGTACTGCCTTTGTTTAATATGTGAAAATAGTTGTTTCAATTATTTGTACAGTTTTGTAGTGTTTTTGTGGAGGTAAGTCCAGACACTGTTTTGCTTTCATGGTCAAAAGTGGAAATTTCTTCTCCCCACTTTTATCTGGATCCTGTATATCCTTCATCTCTGTTTTCTTAAAATTATTTTTAATTAATTTAATTAAATTATTATTATTATTATTTTTGAGATAGGATCTTACTCTGTTGCCCAAGCTGTAGTGCAGTGGTACGATCTTGGTTCACTGCAACCTCCCTCTCCTGGAGTCGAGTGATTATCTCACCTCAGCCTTCCGAGTAGCTGGGGCTACAGGCGTGTCCCACCATGCCTGGCTAATTTTTGTATTTTTTGGTAGAGATGGGATTTCACCATGTTGGCCAGGCTTGTCTTGAACTCCTGACCTCAAGTGATCCTCCCACCTCAGCTTCTCAAAGTGCATGAACCACTGCACCTGGCCTATTTTATTTTATTTTTTTTAGGGAATGGGGTCCCACTCTGTTGCTCAGGCTGGAGTGCAGTGGTATGATCATAGCCCACTGCAACCTTAAACTCCTGGGCTCAAGCAGTCCTCTCCACTTAGCCTCCCAAATAGCTGGGACCACAGGCATGTGCCACTATGCCTGGCTAATTTTAATTTTAATTTTTTTTTTTTTTTTGGTAGAGATAGGTTTTCACTGCATTGTCAAGGCTGATCTTGAACTCCTGGCCTGAAGTGATCCTCCTGCCTTGGCCTCCCAAAGTACTAGGATTACAGGCATGAGCCCCGTGTCTGGCCTATCCTTTGTCATTCTTGTTCTCGTATTGCTCAATTTAGCTTTACTCACAGGAATTTCTCATTGTGGCTTCTGGGTTGGAAAAGATCCCTGGTTGGTTAATTTTAAGAGTTCATAGAATCTAGCCTGCCCTGGTCCCTTCAGTTTCTATTGTAGACTCCATGCACTCAACTGTTATTGATTAGGCAAGGCATCTTCTAGTTTTAGCTGTTGTTCTCTAATAGGCTTTCCATGATTTCTGGTGAGTACCTGTTGATTATTTTGAGAGGTCTGTTTCCCTGCACCCCACCCCCAGGTCTGTCAGATGTTGTCTTGCTTCCTTTGTTTCCTTCCACACAGATGCTGATTCTTTACAGGTCTGTGGCTCTTGTGGTTTATTCTCACAGACTTGTATTTTGGGGTTTATCTTGGTATCGTAAATATTATCCATGGATTTTGGGCTTGCAATCTAGTAGAACTACTTGTTTTCATGTGGGTATTTGGGAAGATTTTAAAACGATGTTGCTGTTATTGCCATTACCTCCCCAGGATTTTACTCTATATTTAAAAAAAAATTTATAAGTGGCATTTAAAATTTTTGTTTTCTAATTATGTATTGCAAGCATAGACACATAATTAATTTTCATTTATTGCCATTTGCATACAACAATCTTGCTAAATTATTTTATTAATTTAAATAATTTATCTGTAGTATTTTGGATCTTCCACAGATATATCATCTGTGACTAGTGAGTTTTGTTTAATCTTTGTCTTTTGTTCCCCTTGCTTTACTGTGCTGTCTAAAATATTTAATGCAATGGGAAGGAAGTGCTGATAGCTGTTTTCATTGGTTGTTCTTGATTTCAAAAGGAAAGCTTTCCTCATTTCACTATTAAGTATGTAGCTATGTTTAAGCATACATTCACTATTAAGTATGATCATTTTTGTTTTTTGAGAGACACCATTTATCAGGGAAATTATTCCTGGTTTTCTGAAAGTTTTTCTCTTTTAATCATTATTGTATGTTGCACTTCATGAAATGTTTTTCCTCTATTTCTTGAGATGATAATATTTTTCTTCTTTATTATATCAATATGGCTAATTATATTGATTTTCTTTAGTGGAATGCTTTGAATCATTTCTACTAAGAGTTTTTTGCTTTGTAGTTACCATGAAGCTTACATAAAACATCTCCTGCCTCAGCCTCCCAAAGGGCTAGGATTACAGGCATGAGCCACCATGACCAGCCCCAAAGGCTGGATTTTTGTACCTAATTTTTTCTTCAGCCTTTTCTCGCCTGCATGGTTTCCTGCTTCTCTGTTAATCTTATGGAAGCATCGTTTGTCTCAGGGAGACGCCCGTCAACCCACTGCATTTCTCTTTGGAGTGGCCCACCTGTTGTTGCATTCTCTGGCATATAGCTTCTGGAAGCCATTGGTTCACTGGAGCAGAAGGTCTTTGGCAAGTGATTGTTTTTATTTCCCACAAGTTGCTGGGAAAGTATGTACTTCCTGAAACATTGAACCACTTTGCCAGGAAAAAGAGGTGTGAACTAACTCCTCAGTGATTACAGTTTGGTCCTGTTTCTTGTTTATGTAGCAGAAGTTTCTCTGTTTTTGACATGAGGATGGAACCTATTTTTCAGAAATGATGCAGATATCCCCATATATGTAATATTTTAAAATCATTTGTTTTTGTTGTTGTTGGGTAGGGGGAGATTGTGAGTAAGTTTGGAGATTGGTGTTCGTGTGACTATCTTTCTTAGAAGAAAATTCCTTTTGTTTTGATAGTGAATTGTAGGAGTGGCAGGTGCTTGGAAGTTTAAAAAATTAAAAAAATTTTTGACATAATTTCAGACTTACAACACTTCCATCTTTCCTTGTCTTCATTGACTGTGACATTTTTACTGAGTACAGGCCAGCTATTTTACAGAACGTACTTCAATTTAGATTTGTTTTCTGATGTTTCCTCACGATTGGAGTTTTGTTACACGTTTTTGGCAGGAATCCCACAGAAACAATGTTGTGCTCTTAATGCGTTGTATCAGGCGTTACATGATATCAGTTGACTATTATTGGTTAAGGTAGTGTGTAACACTCTAAAGATACTATTTTCTTGTTTTTTGGGGGGGATATCTTATGGGGAGATACAGTAATACTGTGCAATTATCCTGTCCCCATCAAATTTTCATCATCTTGTGTTAGCAACCATTGATGATTCTTGCTTGAATCAGTTATTACTCTGGTAGTTTCCAGACAATGATTTGTTAAAAAGACATCTTTATTGAGGTATGATTGACATATAAAAAACTGTACATATTTAATGTGTACAACTTGATTAGTTTGTGATAAGCAATTACCTTCTAATTCATCGTTCCTTGTACATGTATTAGTTTGTATTCTACTGTAAGGAAGAGGTTTTCCTTTTCCTGAGTTGTATCCCTGTGGATTCATAGATTGTTTTAGTCTGTTGGTTCTCATCTGTTACTATTATTTATTTTGATGTTCTTATTTGTCCAGATTTGGCTGATGAAGGCTTCTTCAATTGGATTTCTTTGTCCGTGATGATCTTTTTACTTTCACTTATCAATACATATTTTTTCTTAATTATGATTATTGTTATTATTATTTTTGAGATGGAGTCTTGCTGTGTCGCCCAGGCTGGAGTGCAGTGGTGCCATCTCGGCTCACTGCAAACTCCACCTCCCCGGTTCATGCCATTCTTCTGCCTCAGCCTCCCAAGTAGCTGGGACTACAGGCGCCCACCACCGTGCCTGGCTAATTTTTTGTATTTTTAGTAGAGACAGGGTTTCACCGTGTTAGCCAGGATGGTCTCGATCTCCTGACCTCGTGATCCACCCGCCTCGGCTTCCCAAAGTGCTGGGATTACAGGCGTAAGCCACCACACCCGGCCGATTATTATTATTTTTTTGAGACGGAGTCTTACTCTGTCACCCAGGCTGGAGTACACTGGTACGATCTTGGCTCACTGCAACCTCTGCCTCCCGGTTCAAGTGATTCTCCTAAGTCAGCCTTCCTAGTATCTGGGATTACAGGTGCCTGCCACCATGTCTGGCTATTTTGTTTTTGTATTTTTAGTAGAAATAGGGTTTCACCATGTTGGCCAGGTTGGTCTCAAACTCCTGACTTCAAGCGATCCACCTGCCTTGGCCTCCCAAAGTGCTGGGATTACAGGCGTGAATCACCATGCCTGGCCATATTTTTCTTGATTATTAAATACAGGTGAGTGGGGAATGGTGGCTTGTGCCTGTAATGCCACCTACTCTGAAGGCTGAGGCAGGAGACTCACTTGAGCACAGGAGTTCAAGGCCAGTCTGAGCAACATAGTGAGACTCCCATCTTGAAAAAAACTTTTAAAAATTAGCTAAGTATGGTGGCACATGCCTATAGTCCTAAGTACTTTGGAGGATAAGGTGAGAGGATCCTTTGAACCCAGGAGTTCAAGGCTGCAGTGAACTGTGGATCACGCCACTGCGTTCCAGCCTGGGTGACAGAGTGAGAACCTGTGTCTGAAAAAATCGTAATACAAGATTTTAAAAAATGTAATGTAAAATCAGGGATAAGGATATAAACATACTTGTAGCCATCATCACCTTTTTTTTTTTTTTTTTTTTTGAGACAGGGTTGCCCAGGCTGGAGTGCAGTGGCACGATCTCGGCTCATTGCAACCTCTGCCTCCTGTATTCAAATGATCCTCCGGCCTCAGCCTCCTGAGTAGCTTGGATTACAGGCGTGAGCCACTGCGCCCGGCCTGATCATCTTCTCTATATTGATGTATTTCCTTTCAACCTTTCATTGCATTTTTTAATGTAGTAGAGATAGAACTAAAGATAGAAATTTGTATCTTAGTTTTATATTTTTAACCTGTAATTGAATTATAAGCATTTTCTTGAGTAACAAAGAGCTCTTTGGAAGCTGTGTCTCAGAAGCAATTATCCATGTCACCCAAATGTGCCAGTGCTGCCTTGAGGCCCACCTACTGCCTCTGCTTTTGGAAAGCATGCTCCTTCCCCCACTGAAAGAAAACTCCAGTTTCCCCTCTCTCTTCCTCTCTTTCACGTAACTTTTTTTCTTTTTCAGCACACTCCGTGCCCGTTTTCTTGTATTTGAAGAGCCAACAGAAGTTCAGAGTGGCAGGAACTTGGAGACCAAGGAGAATAGCCCCAGATGCGAGGTAGAACACCATCCTTTTGCTGGAGATAGAGCAGTAGGTGGAGATGGAGAATGAATAAATTAACAATCAATAGGTAATGAAATCAGGAGATGAGAAATGCCGTGAAGTAGAGAGAGCAGCGGGTAGGTAGCTGCTATTTTACATAGGTGGACAGGGAAGACATCTCTGGTGAGGCTATATTTGAGTTAAAGATCTGAGTGTTTTACAGATTAGAAAGCTCAGAAAGGTAAAGTAACTTTTCTAAGGTTACAGGGCAGATTTAGTATTAAATTAGTTTAGTTTTGTTTCATTTTTAAATTCAGAAGCCCTCTATAAATAGTACTTCAGTGTTCTTAGAAATCCTTTGATTTCAGGCTGGCTGCAGTGGCTCACACCTGTAATTCCAGCACTCTGGGAGGCTGAGGTGGGCGGATCACTTGAGGTCAGGAGTTCAAGACCAACCTGGCCAATATGGCAAAACCCCGTCTCTACTAAAAATACAAAAATTAGTCAGGTGTGGTAGTGGGCACCTGTAATCCCAGCTACTTGGGAGGCTGATGCAGGAAAATCGCTTGAACCCGGTAGGTGGGGAAAAAAAAATCCTTTGATTGTAGGGATTCCTGACTTTTGGGTGTGTCTGTCTCTATCCCTATGCCGTGCAAGAAAACATTTCTGTTTTGTTTTGTTTTGTTTTGTTTTGGGATGGAGTCTCACTCTGTCTCCCAGGCTGGAGTGCAGTGGCCTGATCTCGGCTCACTGCAACCTCTGCCTTCCAGGTTCAAGCAATTATCCTGCCTCAGCCTTCGAGAAGCTGGGATTACAGGTGCCGACCACCACACCCAGCTAATTTTTGTATTTTTAGTAGAGATGGGGTTTCGCCATGTTGGCCAGACTGGTCTCGAACTCCTAACCTCAGGTGATCCACCTGCCTTGGCTTCCCAAAGTGCTGGGATTACAGGCGTGAGCCGCCGCGTGAAAACATTTCTAAGAAGTGAAACTTATGCAGGAGACTTTTTTGTGCTTTGAATGTCAGTGGTGGTTGGGATAGAAATAAAGTTTGCTTTGAGGAGATGTTGATTGTTTTGTAACTCAGTAGTTACTTGACTCTAAAATCTATAATCTACAGTTTTTGGTGTCCTGCAGGTCTGTTCAGGAAGATGAACCCTCCCTTGCAGAAGCTGGAGCTGCCCCAGGGAGTCTGTCTGGGATGAAGACAGAGGCCCAGCCTTCGACATCCTCGCTGGCAAACACCTCATGGACTGGCACAGTGATTTCTGACACTGTCCCAGGAAGTCAAACATGGGAAGACAAGGGTCCATTGACCTGGTCTGCAGCATCTGGGACCTCAGAGGCCCAAGTTTCAGCAGCCCGGGTTGCAGAGGCTAAGACCTGGGAGGCTCATGTTTTTGAGGCTCAGGCCAGGACCAGTCAGCCAAAGCAAATTTCTGTATTGGAGGCGGCAACTGCCTCAATCCTGAAACAGAAATCCACGTACGAGAAGGTGCAGATAACAGAGAAGAAAGAGAGTGAGGTCCTCCTTGCCCGTCCATTCTGGTCCAGCAAAGCTGAGTACATTCTGGCTCAGGTGGGCTTCTCTATGAAGCCATCTTGTCTCTGGCACTTTGCCCACCTGTGGCTTAACAGTGGAGGCTGTAAGTCTGGGGACCAGGAAACCTGAGTCCACAAGGGGCAAGGAGGACAGAGTCCTGTCCAGGCTTTAACCGTGAATGTTTCTGAGATAAGTAGAGACCAAAGACCTGGTGCTCTGAGCAGGATAGGAGCCAGGTCCCTGGACACCTAAAATCATGAGCGGTGTAGAGGTTCAGGGTATCTGAACATGGGGATAGTAAAGCCTGAGGCCTGGGTCCAAGGTGGGCTGGAAACTAGGTACTCTGGTCTTCCAGGAATTGGGGGCCAGAAGACTGGACACTTGGGACCGTGAGGGATGTAGACATGGGTGAGCCCTGATGCCTGTGACCCTGGGGGAGGTCGCTGGTAGGGAGAGTGTTTTCCTGGGCTCCTGGAGTCCAGGCACTGAAAGGACATGGTTCTCAGAGTCCCCCCGAATCCTCTTCACAGGCAGTTTCGCCGCCATCTACATCTTCATGCTGTTCATGGTCGGGATTCCTCTTGTCTTCCTGGAGATGGCAGCCGGTCAGAGCATGCGTCAGGGTGGCACGGGTGTATGGAAGATCATTGCCCCCTGGATTGGTGGTGTGGGGTATTCTAGCTTCATGGTGAGGAGCCCATGGCTGCCCAGGCCTGACTTTTACACCCCACCCGCATCCCAACCCTCCTCCTGAAATGCGCCCCATGAATACCTCCATGGGTCAGATCCCTTTGGTTCCCCAATCCTCTGTCAAATCCCCTCCCTTTTCCTGTCCCGGCTCTTCCTCCCCAGCCATGTCGTCCTTGGCCCCCAGGTGTGTTTCATCCTCGGCCTGTACTTCAATGTGGTCAATTCCTGGATCATCTTTTACATGAGCCAGTCCTTCCAGTTTCCCGTTCCATGGGAGAAATGTCCCTTAACGATGAACTCCAGTGGCTTTGGTGAGGAGGAAGTGAAAGAAGAGGAGAAGGGAAAAATGGAGAAGTAGAAGTAGAAGAGAATTTGGAAGAGGAGAGAGTGGGGAGGGACAAGGAAGAAGAAGAAGAAGGAAAAAGAAATGGGAGAGGGAAAGAGAAAAGGGAGGCGGGAGAGGGGATAAGGAAGAAGAGGGGGTACTTTGTCTAGCAGGCATGTCTAAAGCCAGGTCCCCCCCAGATCCTGAATGTGAACAGACAGCACCCTCCATATACTTCTGGTACCGGCAGACCTTGAAGGCCTCAGACAGAATCGAGGATGGCGGGTCACCAGTCTACAGTCTGGTCCTGCCCTTCTGTGTTTGCTGGTGTCTTGTTGGTGCTTTCATGATCAATGGGCTTAAGTCCACGGGGAAGGTGAGCCACCAGTATTGGATTCCTTGAAATTCTCAGATGCTTTAGCCCTTACCTCACTTTGTTACTTGTTGATCTCCTAATCTCTTGCTCCTCTGGCCTTTTACTCCCACTAGCCCCGACTCTTGCTGAAGGCTTTCTTCTAACTCCTATTCATTTCTGACTCGGAACTTTCGATCCCTCCTGTTGGTTGACCCCTGCTGGTACACAGGTGCTGATATGTCCCACTCTCAATTCAGGTGATCTGTGTCTTGGTACTGCTGCCTCATTTCATCATCATTGGTTTCTTCGTCCGGAGTCTACTGCTGGAAGGGGCAAAATTTGGCCTTCGACAGTTGGTAGTTGCCAAGGTGAAATCTGTCTCCTCAATCCTCCATCAGGCCTTGTAGGGCACCACAGCTGCCTGTTCTTAGAGCTTCCTTTCCCCATTCTTTCCTTCTGCATCTCCCTCTCTCCTCCCTGCAACATTTCTATTATAGTTGTCCTCTGCTGCTTCTTTTACAACCCCCTTATACTTGTCTTCTCTCTTTTAGATATCGGATGTGTACAATGTGAGTGTGTGGTCTGCAGCAGGAGGTCAAGTTTTGTTTAACACAGGCATAGGCCTTGGCTCTGTTGCCTCCTTAGCCTCCTACATGCCCCAGTCCAACAACTGTCTCAGTGATGCCTTTCTCGTGTCTGTGATAAACCTGCTCACTTTGTTGATTGTCACATCTTTCAACTTCTCTGTCCTGGGCTTCTGGGCGACAGTCATCACACATCGCTGCTGTGAGAGGTAAGGCCAGCCCCCTTGTGGAGGGTCCCAGCCCCAGGGAATTTTCAAACCCAAAGACCCTAACCTTAAAGGCGCTGCAAAGATCCACGTTCACACATTTCGACCTTGGGTGCACTTGCATACCTTCCCCATAGCTAAAAATGGAGACAATAGAATCTCCTATCATGTATTATCCTTCTCAGAGCCTTTTGTCACCCTAGAAAGTAATCTTCAAACTAAGAGATTGCCAGCTCTCCACCTCAGAGTGAATATGCTAACAGGGATGTACTGAAAATGGAAAACATTGAAGGCTACTCTAATCCCAGATACACAACAAAATAGCATCCAAGACCACACCACCCAGAGACCCTTCCAAGGCTATCCTTGGAAAAATGGAGAGGTAGAAGGCCCCATTCTTAACTGTCAACTCCTGAATTGGGGATTTCTGTCAATCTATCAGAAACTCCAAAAGGATTCTCTGTACTAGAACCTTAATTGTCTGATCACCCCTGTTTCTTATTTTTCTTATTTTTAGGCATTAATTTCAAAAACATCCATCAGACATTTAGGAAGTATTCTTTCTATACCATAGCACTTGGACAGGTGAATCTGACCACAGTCCTTGTTTCATTAAGTTTTCAATTTTTTGGGGAGAAGGAAAGGAGAGAATGAGACAGCCAAAAACTTATGCTAACGGGTAACTGAAGTGATAGGTGGGGACAGGAGACGGCCATTCTGTTTGGGCTAGTCAGATGGGGCCTTCCAGAGGAGGCAACCCTGAGTTGAATTTCTCCCAGTAGTCTTTTTTTTTCTTCCTCCTCCTCTTCCTTTCTTTCCCAGAGTAGGTTTTTTTGTTTGTTTTTTTAATTTAAATTTTTGAGAACGGGGTCCCACTACATTGCTCAGGCAGGTCTTGAACTCCTGGGCTCAAGTTATCCTCCTGCCTCTGCCTTCCAAAGAGCTGGAATTACAGGCATGAGCCACTGCTTCCGGCCTCTCCTAGTAATCCTAACCCTCACAAATAACCACCATTTTCTTCTAGAAGATGCCTGGGAATATACATGTGTGCGTGTGCAAGAGTTCTTGACAGCATATAGTTAGGAAAGGAATTGCTGAGTAGGGTGTGCTCACCTTCAATTTTATCATATATTGTCTGGTTTTCAAAGTGGTGTAATGCATTACCCTCCCATCAGGGATGTGTGAGACTTCCATTTGTTCTACTTTTTGCACAACACTTGATTAAACTTGGTTGGACTTTTAAATTGTTTCCAGTCTGGTGGGAGTGTAATGGTAACTTTTTGGGTATTTTCAAAAGAAACCTTTTATTATGAGCTATTACATACATATGTAAAAATGCATAAAACAAGGCTGGGAGCAGTGGCTCACGCCTGTAATGCCAGCTCTTAGGGAGGCCGAGGTGGGAGGATTGCTTGAACCCAGGAATTTGAAGCCAGCTGGGTGAGACACCGCCTCTAACAAAAAAAAAAAAAAAAAAAAAAAAAAAAAAAATGTATAAAACAATGTACAGTGTAACGAACTACGAAGTAAGCATCACCCGTATTAAGAACTAGAATAACCCTAGCTGCTCTCCATGTATCTTTTTCTAATCATAATCCCTTTACTGCCTCCCAGAGGTTAACCATCATAAAAGTCAGGATAGTGGTTATTATATTGCTTAGTAGATATGCATACATACATGATCAAATATAAAGAAAAACAAGCCCAGGTGCGTGGGCTCACGCCTATAATCCCAGCACTTCGGGAGGCTGAGGAGGGTGGATCACAAGGTCAGGAATTTGAGACCAGTCTGGCCAATATGGTGAAACCCCATCTCTACTAACAAATACAAAAATTAGCTGGATGTGGTGGCACACACCTGTAGTCCCAGCTACTCAGGAGGCCAAAGCAGGAGAATCACTTGAACCTGGGAGGCGGAGGTTGCAGTGAGTGGAGATTGCACCAATGCGCTCCAGCCTGGGCGACAGAGCAAGTCTCCATCTCAAAAAAGAAAAAGAAAAAGCCTGCTATGGTGTTAATTGGGATTGCATCAAGTCTGTAGATCATCTCTGAACCAGCTTTCCTTGCATTCCTGGTTATGGAGAAGGGCCAGGGGCAAAGCTTCTGCTTCATTTTTATTGTGAAGGTATAGCCCTTTGAAGTTGTCAGATTTAAGTGGGGAACTTCTATTCTGATCCTTATTTTGGGCAGGCTCTGGTGCTTTATATCTGGCCTCCATGGCCCCCTTTTGTATCTGAAAAGTCTTAAAATTGGAAAGTGCAGGTCTAGTTTGTTGCATTTTGCATACATCTTTGGGACAAAGTATATTTGGAAGTCCCCTTTCTCCACTGCTTTGCCTGTACTTCAGTTTTTGCCTGATGATTCCTTATTATCTTGTCAACGTTTTTATTTCATTAGAAGATTTAAAAATATCTTCCAGGCCGGGCACGGTGGCTCACGCCTGTAATCCCAGCACTTTGAGAGGCCAAGGCAGGCAGATCACCTGAGGTCGGGAGTTCAAGACTAGCCTGACCAACACAGAGAAACCATGTCTCTACTAAAAATACGACAAAATTAGCCAGGCACGGTGGTGCATGCCTGTAATCTCAGCTACTCGGGAGGCTGAGGCAGAAGAATTGCTTGAACCCAGGAGTCAGAGGTTGCGGTGAGCCAAGATTGCGCCATTGCACTCCAGCCTGGACAACAAGAGCAAAACTCGGTCTCAAAAAAAAAAAAAAAAAAAAAATCCTCCAGCCTTTTAAATTATTTCCAATGAGAAAATTGGTTCAAATCTCTAGCTTATTACTGGAATAGCATGTAGTATTTTATTTTCTAAAATGTGATCAAACTCTACTTGCTTGCCTTTTGCTTTTATCAGTGAATCTTGGCAAGCTGCCCATTGCAGTTCTTACAGAGCAATGACCTGAAGTTTTAAGGGTTTGTAGGAGTTAGCCAAGTGAAGAATGGCGGTGGGGGTGGAGTCGGTATTGTGTGTGAGAGGGTATGGTGGGCCTTGAAACTGTAAGTTGTGTGTGAGAGGGTATGATGTGGCCAGAACATGGAATGTGAAGAGAGCCATAGGGACATATGAGGCCAAAATGGTCATCAGGGCTCACATCAAAAAGTCGAACCAGCAGCTGCTCTCACACAGCACAACTCCATGGGAACATTATCATCATAGTCTCTGTGCTCCCGGACATGCTGTAACAGGAGGTTTAGAAAGTTGGCTTTTACCCGTTAGTCTCAGCCAAGAGGGAAGGTAGACAGTGAATAAGAAACCCCATCACTAGAGCAGAGACCACTGAGTCCCCAAGAAGACTAGAAAATGCTTCTCCTAGGCTCTCCCATGGTCATAAATTCTCCAGGATTACACAAACGAATTCATGTCCCTGAAGGCGGGTGCCTTCTAGGTTTCATCCCAGGCTCTATCTTACCCAGATCACTAATGCTAAGCCAGTGATAGCCGTTTTTATCTTGAAGATAAAGGAAAAGGAGACCATCTCCTACTGGGCCAAATGGTTCAATTTGATTCCACCCCCTATCCCCAGGAATGCTGAAATACTTTTAAAGCTGATAAACCTAGGGAAACTGCCTCCTGACGCCAAGCCCCCTCTCGACCTGCTTGACAACCCGACCTCCATCTACAACACCTGGTTCAATGGCCTTCCCCAGCACATCAAAAGCATGGTTCTCCACGAGGTGACTGAATGCAACATAGAGACTCAGTTTCTTAAGGTCAGTAAAAATAACTGAGTCTGAAAGCCCTTGGCACAACAGAAATTTTTGCTTTTATTAGCACGAGAAAAAAATCCCAGAAGCACCAGGATAATCTGTGGCGCTTAGTAATACGAAGTACTATAGTTTGCAGAATGGCCTTCCAAGGATAATGCTAGCTGGATTGATTTTTCCATGTCAGAAAAATCAATGACTCCCTCCCTCCTATCGTTCAGGAGTCTGCTCACATGTCACCTTATCGGAAAGGCCCTCCCTGAAGTCGTATCTGGATTGGTGCCCACACACACTCCCACTATGGGCTGGCTTGGCGATCTGATTTTCTCAGTGATCCAGGGATTTTCAGGAGTTTTCCAGGGAAGATAGAGTGTATACTTGTCTATATTTTTTTGTTATTGTTTAGTTCAATGACACTTCAACACCTGTTTGTTCTCTCTTCGCAGGCTAGCGAGGGCCCAAAGTTTGTATTCCTGTCCTTTGTTGAAGCCATGTCCTTCCTTCCTCTGTCTGTCTTCTGGTCTTTTATCTTCTTCCTGATGTTGCTGACCATGGGGCTGAGCAGCGCAATAGGGATTCTGCAGGGCATCGTTACTCCACTCCAGGACAACTTCTCTTTCTTCAGGAAACATACAAAGCTGCTCATAGGTACTCTGACCTAGGCCCTACTCCTAACAATGACCCTGACCCCTGACACCACTGGGATTTTTTTTTGGGACAGGGTCCCGGTAGTCCAGGCTGGTGTGCAGTGGTGTGATCTTGGCTTACTGCAACTTCTGCCTCCTGGGTTCAAGTCATCCTCCCACCTCAGCCTCCCCAGTAGTTGGGACCATAGGCATGCGCCACCACGCCCGGCTAAGTTTTGAAGTTTTGGTAGAGACGGGCTTTCGCCATGTTGCCCAGGCTGGTCTCAGACTCCTGGGCTTAAGCAATCTGCCCACTTCAGCTTCCCAAAATGCTTGGATTACAGATGTAAGCCACCGCGCCCGGCCACCACTGGGTCTGCCACCAGTCCTGGTCTATGACCTCTACTTAGCCCTTGTCACCCAGCCCTGACTTCTAACCTTGATCCAGATCTCATGTTTTCTCCAGTGGGACTCTTTCTGCTCATGTTCGCGTGTGGCCTCTTCTTCACTCAACCTTCAGGCAGCCACTTCATCAAACTGCTGAGTAACCACTGGATAGTCTTGCCCATCATCGTCATTGCCATATTTGAAACCATGGCTGTATCCTGGGCCTATGGGGCCAGGAGGTGAAGTCCTAAGCCCAGGTTCTCACAAAGCATGGGACTATCGGGAAGGTTGACCCCTTTCTTGTTGCCTCTACTGTTGCCCAACTAGTGTGACATAGAGACTGTTAATTTCAGAGCCTTCTGGGAAACCTTTTTATTCATTCATCCATTTTCACATATATTTTGGGTGCTGCATATGTGCCAGGCACTGTTTTAGTCATCAAGGATAGGAGCATTGAATAAAAGAAGTATTCCTATTCTCAGAAAGCTTACATTTTAGTGGTCTAGAGAGACAATAACCAATTAGCAAAGAAAGAATAAAAACATTGAGAATAAATATAAGTGATAGGAAGAATCAAAGGGTGAGGTCAGATGGCCCATAGTGGGAGTGTGTGTGGGCACCCATCCAGGTAAGCCTTCAGGGAGGGCCTTTCTGATAAGGTGACATGTGAGCAGACTCCTGAATAATAGGAGGGAGGGAGTCATGACAAGACTTTGAGGAAAGTGCTCCCTGCAGGGAAACAAATTACCAAGGCCAGAGGAAGCATAATGCCTAGAGTTTTTGAGAAAAAAGGAAGTCAGAGAGGCTGGAATAGAAGATATTAGGAGATGGCGCTAGAGAAATGATGGGGGCCAAATCATGTAGGGTTTTGTAAGCCACTATAGGAGTCAGCTTTGTATGCAGAATGAGAGATGAAGCATTGGAAGGTTTTGAGTAGGAGAATGACATTTTCAGGTGGAAGTTGCCATTATTAGATTTGTTTTTTAAAAAGGTATCTATGGCTGCTGTGTGGAGAATAGATCAGGAAGGGTCCAGAGTGAAGCCAGGATAAGAGTTGGAAGCTATGTAATATTTCTTTTGTTTTTGTTTGTTTTTTTCTTTTTGAGATGGAGTCTTGCTCTGTTGCCCAGGCTGGAGTGCAGTGGTGTGATCTCAGCTCACTGCAAAGTCTGCCTCCCAGGTTCAAGCAATTCTCCTCCCTCAGCCTTCTGAGTAGCTGGGATTATAGGCATGTACCACCACGCCCAGCTAATTTTTGTATTCTGAGTAGAGATGGGGTTACACCATGTTGGCCAGGCTGGTCTTGAACTCTTGACCTCGTGATCACCTGCCTCAGCCTCCCAAAGTGCTGGGATTACAAGCATGAGCCACCCCTGCCTCATGAAGGCTATGTAATATTTCAAATGAGAGCTAAGAATGGCTTGGTCAAAAGTAGAAGAATTGTGGATTAAGAGAAGTGGTCTGATTCTGGAAGGTAGAGCTACCTGGGAAAGAGAACAAGATAATCTGGGAGTGAGACCTGGAAGACACAACTGTGGAATGTAAGTCTATAGTAGAGGTAGCCAGGGAAGCTCTGGGGACACAGATGATTAGTTAAGGAAGACTGGAGAGTTAGGGAAGGTGGCCTAGAGAAGAGGATGCTTGAGCAGAGCCTGGACAGATGAATAGGTGGAGATAGGGTGATGGGCACCCTAGACCAAAAGACCCCACTTGTATATTTATTGAAATTGAGAATATGTACTAAAAGAGACTCGATAGGTGGCTGAAATAAACTAGATACGTTCCCCAGGGGCCAAATGCCACTTTCTTTTATCCGTGTTGTTCACTGCTAGATATCCAGCACTTAGAAGAGTTCCTGGCACATCATAGACGTTCTGATATTTATGGGATGAATGAAAGAGACTTGACCTTTCTTCTGAGGCCATTGGATACCCATGGAAAGTTCTTGAGCAGGAGAGGGGTGTTTGGAAAATTTTCTTGGGTTGGGATAGACGACAGACCGACTAGGGAGAAGATGAGAGAGGACAAGACTTGAGATGAAACAGGAGATTAGAGATACAATAGAATGTTTGAAAGATGCCAAGGTTGGGCTGGCCCTGCCGCCAAGGTGGTGAGGCCTAACTGGGCATCCCACACTCTGGTGGCCCTTCCCCAGGTTCCTTGCAGACCTGACGATCCTGTCGGGCCACCCCATCTCTCCCATCTATGGTTGGCTGTGGCCTTGTGTGTGTCCAGTTGTGCTGCTTATCCTGTTTGTGACTGTGATGGTTCGTCTTTGTATGAAGCCGATCACCTACATGTCCTGGGACTCAAGCACTGTGAGCCTCCCCCAGGACCCAGAACCCCTTTGGGAGTGGGGGGCCAGACCTTTCAATTCACTCTGGGTGAAAGAACCCAGTCATCTCATTCTCTTATGCCAGAAGACTCATGGGTTTTCTGCTTTAGTTCCCCACCCACCCTTCCCCTCCACAACTCTTCCTCTTCTCTTGGGGATTTTGATATTCTGAACCTTTTTCCCATCTCTCCACAGTCAAAAGAGGTGCTTCGACCATACCCACCATGGGCGCTGCTCTTGATGATCACCCTTTTTGCCATTGTCATCCTCCCCATCCCTGCATACTTTGTATACTGCCTCATACATAGGATTCCCTTCAGGCCCAAGAGCAGAGACAGGCCTATTACAGCCTCCACATCCCTACCCCTAAGTCACCAGCTAACACCCAGTAAAGAGGTTCAAAAGGAAGAAATTCTACAAGGTGATGAAACAAAGTACCCATCAACCTCTCATGTGACTTCTTAACTTCATTCATTTGGCTTCACATCACATATCCCTTAGAACAGATCCAATGGGCAACTCTTAATATCAGCTTGCAACTGTCGATGTCCCTGGATCCAGAACCACTTTTATTTCCAAGAGGAGGGCGTTCTTTGGAGGGGGTTCATAGGGCCTGGCCTTGCAATCCCCTCCTTGGTCCCATCTTATCTGGTGACCACCATCATTGTTTTCCCCATCATCTTCCTCAACACACATACATGTACAACTTATATACAATACTAGTGATGTCTACCAGTCCTGCTACTTCTGGGGTGCCTGTCTCCTGGAATGGAGCTGGAGGAGTAATGCTGTTAGTCAATAAATCAGTCTACATTAACTCCAGGATGTAAGCAGATCTTTTTTTTCTATAGATGTCTGAGATGTTCAGTTTTCCTGTCACAAGGCTTCCAATCTGTATTAGTTCATTTTCACACTGCTAATAAAGACATACCTGAAACTGGAAACAAAAAGGTTTAATTGGACTTACAGTTCCACATGGCTGGGGAGGCCTCAGTCATGGTGGAAGGTGAAAGGCACTTCTTACATGACGGCAGCAAGAGAAAAAATGAGGAAGAAGCAAAAGCGGAAACCCCTGATAAACCCATCAGATCTCGTGAGACTTATTCACTATCATGAGATTAGGATGGAAAAGACCAGCCCCCATGATTCGATTACCTCCCCCTGGGTCCCTCCCATAACACATGGGAATTCTGGGAGATATAATTGAAGTTGATGTTTAAATGGGGACACAGCCAAACCATATCATTCTGCCCCTGGCCCCTTCAAATCTCATGTCCTCACATTTCAAAAGCAATCATGCCTTCCCAACAGACCCCCAAAGTCTCAACTCATTTCAGCATTAACCCAAAAGTCCAAAGTCTCATCTGAGACAAGGCAAGTCCCTTCCACCTATGAGCCTATAAAATCAAAAACAAGCTAGTTACTTCCTAGATACCATGGGGTTACTGGTATTGGGTAAATACAGCCATTCCAAATGGGAGAAATTGGCCAAAGCAAAGGGGTTATAGGGCCGATGCAAGTCCAAAATCTAGAAGGGGAGTCAAATTTTAAAACTCCCTAATCTCCTCTGACTCCAGATCTCACATCCCGGTCATGCTGATGCAAAAGGTGGGTTCTCATGGTCTTAGTTCCACCTCTGTGACTTTGCAGGGTACAGCCCCCCTTCCAGCTGCTTTCACGGGCTGGTGTTGAGTGTGGCTTTTCCAGGCTCATGGTGCAAGCTGTCAGTGGATCTACCATTCTGGAGTCTGAAGGACAGCGGACCTCTTCTCACAGCTCCACTAGGCAGTGCCCCAGTAGGAACTCTGACTCCACATTTCCCTACTGCATTTCCCTCCCTAGCAGAGGTTCTCCATGAGGGCTCTGCCCCTACAGAAAACTTGTTCCTGGGCATCCAGGCATTTGCATACATCTTCTGAAATCTAGGCAGAGGTTCCCAAACCTCACGTCTTGACTTCTGTGCACCCGCAGGCTCAACACCACGTGGAAGTTGCCAAGGCTTGAGGCTTCTACTATCTGAAGCCACAGCCCGAGCTGTACATTGGCCCCTTTCAGCCATGGCTGGAGTGGCTGGGACACAGGGCACCAAGTCCCTAGGCTGCACACAGCACAGGGACCCTGGGCCTGGCCCACAAAACCACTTTTTCCTCCTGGGCCTCTGGGCCTGTGATGGGAGGGGCTGCCATGAATGTCTCTGATGTGGCCTGGAGACATTTTCCCCAGGGTCTTAGGGATTAACATTAGGCTCCTTGCTACTCATGCAAATTTCTGCAGCTGGCTTGAATTTCTCCTCATAAATGGGTTTTTCTTTTCTACTGCATCATCAGGCTGCAAATTTTCTGAACTTTTATGCCATTTCCCTTTTAAAACTGAATGCTTTTAACAGCACCCAAGTCACCTTCTGAATACTTTGCTGCTTAGAAATTTCTTCTGCCAGATACCCTAAATCATCTCTCTCAAGTTCAAAGTTCCACACATCTCTAGGGCAGGGGCAAGATGCCACTAGTCTCTTTGCTAAAACATAACAAAAAGTCATCTTTGCTCCAGTACCCAACAAGTCCCTCATCTCCATCCGAGACCACCTCAGCCTGGACCTTATTGTTCATATCAGCATTTTTGTCAAAACCATTCAATAGGTCTTTAGGAGGTTCCAAACTTTCCCACATTTTCCTGTCTTCTTCTGAACCCTCCAAACTGTTCCAATATCTGCCTGTTACCCAGTTCCAAAGTTGCTTCCACATTTTCGGGAATCTTTTCAGCAATGCCCAACTCTACTGGTACCAGTTTACTATACTGGTATAGTTTGTTTTCATGCTGCTGATAAAGACATACCTGAAACTGGGAACAAAAAGGTTTAATTTGATTTACAGTTTCACATGGCTGGAGAGGTCTCAGAATCATGGCAGGAGGCGAAAGGCACTTCTTACATGGTGGTGGCAAGAGAGAAAATGAAGCAAAAGTGGAAACCCCTGATAACCCATCAGATCTCATGAGACTTATTCACTATCATGAGAATAGCATGGAAAACACCAGCCCCCATGATTCAATTGCTTCCCCCTGGGTTCCTCCCACAACACATGGGAATTCTGGGAGATACAACTGAAGTTGAGATTTAAATGGGGACACAGCCAAACCATATCACAGTCTTTCTAAAGCCAAATGTCCAGCCCTGAGTTCCTGCCCTCCCCTTGCTCTGGCAAACTCAGATGCTAGATCACTAGGCTTGCCTTATCCAGGGGTTGGCCTTTAGCCAAGGGAAACCTGGGAAATGGTGACTTCAACAAAGATGGGAAAGATATTAATGCGCTTGCTACTGATACATGATAATCCTATTATAGGTCTAAAGTTATTTCTAAAAAGTTGCACTTGAGGTTTTAACATTGTGTTGTGGACTAAGTACATCTGTAAATCAGTGCCACAACCAGTTACTAACAAGCTGTTTTGCTGAGCCCACCAAAGGTCCCATTGCTGCTCAGTACCGGGCACCACTGGTTTTTATCCCAGGGTCAAATCAACTGAACTTGCCCAGTGGATGATCACTGAGTGGGTCTCTAAGAACTTGTGGGAGGGTAGTGCCATGAGGGTGCTGAAGTACTCCCTACAAAGAGACTGGGGCCTGTCAGTTACCTGCTGGGGATGGGGGCAGAGGTGACTGGGATTCCCAAAGATCCAGGAAATGGGTTTCCCTTAAATGCTCAGAGATCTCAGCCTTTTAGATTGCTTAGAGCCCACGGGTAAGTTTCAGTGATAAAGGAAAAGAAGACATCCCCACCACTGGCAGGCAGGACTCAAGAGGTGGGTCTGCAGAAAGGAAAGAGCAGAGGCACCCGGAGTTTCCAGACCTCTGAAGTCTGGCTCTTCAAGCTTGAAGACAGGAGGGCTGGAGGGGGCGTGCCGCTCCGTGTCATCACCCATTGGCTCCTGTGCTCTATTAGCCCAGCCCCTCCATCCCCCAGTCCAAATGCTTTATCTGCTTGAAGACTCATGCTATTGAATCGGGTCATGTGGGGATGGGAGAGAGAAGGCGGTGGGCTCCTCCTTCTCATCAAATAGTCTGGGTCTTCAACCTCCTCCCTTTTGGGAACCCAGGCACTCATCCTCCTTTCTGTCTCAAGGCCCCTCCCACCCACCTCCCCACCATCCTGGTCCAGTTTTGGAGGTGGAACTTGGGAGAGGGGGATTGAAAAGTAGGGGCTTACAATCTCAAGAAAAGAAAGAAAGAAAAAAAAAAGTATTTTATTTCCTTCTTAGTATCTGTTTCTCTCTCTCTTTTTTTTTTATAGTTTAATGTATTTTAATAGCAAGCTTACAGGAACAGCACAGAAGACAGACAACATTAAAAACATGTTACTTGCATGTAAGACAACTCAGAAAAGTATAGTGATGGATGGAATCTACTGTCTGATAAAAATGCTACAAACACCATTTAGTTGCCGTCAATAAGAAATTTACTTGTTTTAAAAAAAATCCAAATGCTGGCATTGTCCAGAAAAATTTAACAGGTTTATTTATAATTATTATAAAGTTGAACCGCTGAAACTTGTTCACTGAAACATTTTAACTTGCATTAATGCTTTATGCCTCTGCATTTATATTAAAAATTCACACACAAATGAAAATGGAAAAACTGGCAATACCTGATTTCTGTCCCCTATTTTTCCACTCGCAATCATATACTTAGGTACCTTTTGACCCCATGGAAAAAAAATATCTAACGTTCAGAACTACCAATAACAGGAAGAAGAGAATTTTTTTTTTTTTTTTTTTTTTTTTAAGAATGAAATGTTTCCCATCATAGTGGATTCTTAAGCACGTTCTCCACGTGTGCGGCGTGCTAGCTGGATGTCTTTTGGCATAATTGTTACACGTTTGGCATGGATAGCACACAGGTTGGTGTCTTCAAAGAGGCCAACCAGATAGGCCTCACTTGCCTCCTGCAAAGCACCGATAGCTGCGCTCTGGAAGCGCAGATCTGTTTTAAAGTCCTGAGCAATTTCTCGCACCAGACGCTGGAAGGGAAGTTTGCGAATCAGAAGTTCAGTGGACTTCTGATAGTATCTAATTTCACGGAGTGCCACAGTACCAGGCCTGTAACGATGAGGTTTCTTCACCCCTCCAGTAGAGGGCGCACTCATGCGAGCGGCTTTTGTAGCCAGTTGCTTCCTGGGTGCTTTACCACCGGTCGATTTTCGGGCAGTCTGCTTTGTATCAGCCATGGTACAGAGACCTCCTTACTTACCCCCCTTCTCCTTCGGCTGGAGCTCGGCGAGCGAGAGGCAGCGCTGGCGTTAGAGAGCGACAGCGGCTGCGAACACAATTCTCTTTCTTTTTTTTTTTTTTTTTGACAGAGTCTTGCCCTGTTGCCCAGGCTGGAGTACAGTGGCTCAGTCTTGGCTCACTGCAAACTCCGCCTCCCAGGTTCAAGCAATTATCCTGCCTCAGCCTTCTGAGTAGCTGGGATTACAGGGTTGCACCACCACGCCCAGCCAATTTTTGTACTTTTAGTGGAGATGGGGTTTCACCATGTTAGCCAGGCTGGTCTCGAACTCCTGACCTCATGATCCGCCCATCTTGGCCTCCCAAGGTGTTAGGATTACAGGCGTGAGTCACTGCACCTGGCCTTTTTTTTTTTTTTTTTTTTTTTTTGAGACAGCCTCGCTCTATTGCCCAAGCTGGAGTGCAGTGGCGCGATCTCAGCTCACTGCAACCTCCACCTCCCAGGCTCAAGCGATTCTTACGTCTCAGCCTCCCAAGTAGCTGAGATTACAGGTGCTCACCACTGTGTCCAGTTAAGTTTTGTATTTCTAGTAGAGGTGGGGTTTTGCCATGTTGGCCAGGCTAGTCTCGAACTCCTGGCCTCAAGGGATCGGCCCGCCTCAGCCTCCCAAAGTGTGTGAGTCACTGCACCTGGCCTAATTCTGGTTTCTAATTTGC